TGTAGAACACTCCACACTCCAAACCAGGCAGTAACTAATATATCATGCAAAAGAAAAGCTCCTCGGAGGAGGACTAGAAACTAGGCAGTGTAACAATAGAACAACTCAAACACTGTATGCTTTTTAACAAGAGAAAGCAGAGAACCCCATTTCTTACCTCACTGAGCAGTCCACCTCCACAGCCAACGTCCAGAATTTTTACTCCAGAAAGTGGACTTCCCAGGTGGTAATTATTGCTCATGTTTAACAGAGTATCTCTGGAACAAAAGGGATGGATTAATGGCAAACACATGGCTGCTTTCATAGCTTCAATATGCAGCTTAAGGGCTGGTAACTGCTTTTCTCTTACTGACCTTATGCAGAAACAGTATGTATTATTTAAAAATCTGTCTTCAAACCCATACCTAATAAAGGGCACTCTAATATCATTCATAGAATGAAGGGCTAAATATTCTCCTTCTTCATCCCACCACTTCTGCGCAAGGAACTGGAATTTTTTCATTTCTTTGGGATCCACTGATGACCGTGAAGTGCTGAAACGTGTCTTCACAGTAAGCCTGAATAACAAAAGCTGAATGCCATGAAACTCATACAGGTATTCATGTCAGGTAAAATATGGGAAATTCTGCATCACAAGATGAAAAAGAGATAAAACACACACTCCTTTAGAGGCTCCAGTTACACCTGATTAATAACAAACAGATTTTATACACTTTATGTGTACAGATGACCAGACACCTGTAATTTTTAAGCTAGTAATTAATAAAACAAAACTAGGCCACATTAAAGGTTTAAACATTTGTGAGATTTAAAAATGACTTCACAGGACACTGTCCTGAAGTAAAACTGAACTGTTACAGAAAATGATGGTCCTTGTCACGCAGGATATTTTAGATACCACACTTACATGCTGCTTTTCATTTTGAACAGAAGGCCAGCCAGAGTACTGCTGGCTTTCAGCTGTGTTTTCCAGTTGCAGTCCTGAAGGGTACCTCTCATGCCTGCCTGAAAGGACAGATCAGCATGGCTGTCTGCAGAAATAAAAGGAAGGCAACCGAATGGAAAACATCAGCTTTATGAACCTTGTTTGACAATATTGTGCTAGAACACCACCACTAACCATGCAAACCTTTACACGGTGCCCACTATCATACTTGATGAGCGGACGTGATTAAATAAAAGAGCACGTGCTAATTCAGAGCACTTGTACTTCTCAAGTTATGTATGGTGGCATTTTTCAGAGCCTGGATGAGAAGGAACTTTTCACACAGCTGAGGTATTTCTATTACTACACAAAAACATTTCCTCTGACAAGCTGCGCATACACACACCTACTATTAACGCTGGGCTCTGATTCCTGTTTCATCGCCTATCGGAGTAAGAAATACACAGCTGCATGCTCATTTTGTCTTATGAACTGGTGATGAAACATAAAACCTCTCGAACAGCGCAGACAGGCCACGGGCACCTGTCCTTCACACCAGCCTTGCCAACATGCACTGGGCTTTCCCAGCGTAACACACACTCACACGATCCAGCTGTGGCCAGGACACCAGCAACCAAATCACAGCGATACCGGAGTAACAGCCCCTGCAGATGGGTTTAGGCAGCAGGGAGCGGTGGGGTGAACTAGGTAAACTACAGGTATCTCTGGGCTGACGGGATGTAAAGGAGGCAGCAGGGGGAAAACGCCTCCATTACGAGAGCTCTGTTAGGGCTCCGTGAAGCCCCCCAGTCCCTACCAGGCCTCACAGGCCGGCGTCAGCCTGGCGTGGCACTGCCAGCACGAGTGGCTCATTACCGGCACGAACACGGTGCGGCCGGGCGGGCTCTCGGCTCTGCCGCGCAAACCATCAGCCATGCCCCAGCCCAGCGCACCAGACCGGGGACAGGCCGCGGCCGGCACGCCGAGCCTAGGCCAGGGGGACGCTGCCGGGAACTGCCAGAAGCAACGGCCAGGTGGAAGCCGGTGGGAGGCTTACGGGGCCCTGCTGTGAGGCAGCCGGAGAAGTGACTCCCCCGCTAGGCCACCTCGGCCGCGGGGCGGGGGACGGGAACCAGCCAAGCCCCGCGGGCACCGCGCCGGGACCCTCCCACCCGCGCCCTCCCCGCCCGCCTGCTCACCGCCCGCTGCCCGCCGGCGCCACACGGTGCGGGTGAGGGCGCGGGCCGGCCCGCCGCCGCTCCACATCTCCGAGGCCGCAGCAGTCCGTGCTCGCCCCGCCCCGCTACCCTGCCAGCGCCGGGCGTGCGGCGGCGACACGGTGCCGGCTGCCTGCCGGCCCGGGCGCCGGGAAGGTTGGTTCCGGCCCGGCCCTGCCGTCAGCCGTCGCAGCCCGGCAGTGCTGCCCTTGTCCGTGGTAGTGTCCGGCGGCAGCCCCGGGCAGCGCCTGCTGCGGCCTTAGGTGTTGTGAGGCACCGCCGCCGGTCAGAATGTGTCACCACATCGATTTAAAGGTGATTATTTATTACTGCATTTTTATAATATTATAAATGCAAGGGAAGCAGAGCAAAACGCTGGACAGACCATTACAAGCACTTAATCATGCTTGCTAATATGTATTTATGTGTGTGTGTGTATATATACTTCAGCTGAAGATGTGGTACAAGACGGATGAAAACACTGTTTTTACCTTTCTCTTCCCAACAGTGAAGCGCTGTTGTGCGGCACCACTGCTGATGCAGCAGCCGGGAGCCCTCCCTACCCAGCCCATGCCAACCTGCGGTGCACTGTAGCTTGCGGCAGCAGGGCTTCACCCGGGCGCCCCGCTCAAAATTCACAGCCGTTTTATGTATGTCCCCTTACTCATGCGTGTGGGCCTGATCCTTGCATGTCCTGGCACAAGGAAGCACTTCTTTAGGAGAGTCATGTTGCAATGAGACAGCAATTAGCTTTCAGTCTCTTGTATCACCAGGTAACACACTGGACTTGCAGGGGAAGGCCCGGATTACAAGACTCCTCACTTCTGTGAGAGGGGAGACATGGGGAGAACCGATCCTCAACAGCCTGCACTCCATATCCACGGCTGGAAGCAGAGCTCTTGGGCCTCCCAGCACAGCTACGCTTGAGACAACCCCCTGGGTGCTTGGGAACTTCCCAAGCCGTGTTGCTCCTCCCTGTTGCAGAGGCTGCTCAGTCACAGTGTGCAGGCGAAGCCCTTGCTGTGGCCCAGGAGGGACAAGGCTGCCTTCCCCTCCCCATCCCTTGCCCTGGCACAGCTGCCCAGGGCCCTGAACAGAGAGGTTCAGCTGAGGGCTTCAATCTGCATGGCTCTTTGAGTGACTGTCGGAGATGACACACAAGATCTTCTTCCCCTCCTGCCTCCCCTTGGCAGGCTTTGGCCTTTTCCGATCCACATGGTGAGCTAGTTTAACACGCTGAAATGGTAAAGAATTCAGGCAGTTTTTAAAAAGAATCGTTTTCTGACACTTTATTCAGCCACAGGTCTCATGAAGAAGTCCCATGAAAATCCAAGCTCTCAGGAAGGGAGGGGTATGGAGAAAGGCAAAGATAAGCCATGAAAGCAGGAGCTGGCAGCGCTCCCGTGCTTTCCACGCAGGTGACTGCAGTATCCCGGTTCCCTGTCCAGCCACGTGGATGGATGTTGGCAGCCACAGGCAGGAGCATGGCCTGCACAAACCACCCGGCAGCAGGTTTGGAGCAGTACAACCTCTATCCAAAGCCAGGGTGCTTCATTAACTGACCTTGCTCAGTGCACCAACCCTTGCTGCTTGAAATCTGCCCACTGGCAGGTCTGCAAATACAGTGTAATTCATCTACTAGGTAATGTTCGGATTTACTTTTTTTAAAGCTAATTAAGGACTGCTGAAAGGTCTCGAAAGACCAGGTCTTGGCAGCAAATAAATACGTGGCAAAGCTGCTCAGTCTGTATGTGCACCGCTTCACTATGCACCTACCTCCCATGCAGCAAAGTTCACATTGCAGTGGACTTAGGAGTCATGAATGACACCTCAGAGCTACTGGAAAAAGCTCAAAGAAATGCTTTATGCTGAGACACACAGTCTCTTTAAGACACAAAACTAACCTTTCTTTCAAGTGTGTTTCTGCATATTATTTATGCAGATTAATTTATTACTTGCCATTTATTTAGCACAGCAAATGCAAAATCTGGAGAGAGCCAATCCTTCTGTTGCCATTGCTTTTATATTTGTGACTTCTAAAAATTTAGTAACAAGCAATTAAATACATGCACAATGGCAAGTATTTTACTTAATAGGATAAGCTGGTTTTAAACTGGAGGCAGCTATTCCATTTTTCTGACCACAGACTTCTAAGGTAACTGTAATTAGGAGCAGCAGCCTGGGCACCAATCTCTCCCACAGGACACAAAGTCTCTCCTCAAAGACACGAATGACAACAGATTTTTCCCCCCAAACCCCCAATTATCCTGTATTTCAAAAAGCATGTAGTTGTTCAATCTTTAAAGCTGGAATATTTTACCCAACTGGCCTGTCCATGGCCACAGCCGGTTCCTGTTCATAGATGGCACAAGGGGTGCCTTGGGGTTTGCTCACATTGGGTTTGCTGTATTCATCTTCTAGACAATTTGCATGGAAACCATTTTTTACTCGATTCCACACCATCCCTTATTAAAACAATTTTTCAAGGGAAGTGCCTGCATCTGTCATGCTGCTGCATATCATTCAAACTTGTACGCCCTGCTCTCCTGCAGCACACCAAAATGGTTTTTGCAGTGTTTATTTCAAAAAGCAAAAGAACAGAGCAGCAGCCCAATTCAGATTTTTCCAAAATTATACATTCCCATTGTGTAATATTTGTATGTTTGAATTTAGGAACACTTTACATGTGTGGAATTAAAGACTAGATGTCATGTTAGCTTTACCATTGAAAAACAGCCAGAAGGGAGTTTCTAATCCACAAAGAATTCTAATGTAGGTGAAGCTGACATAGCACTGATGTATTTTTAATTACTGGTGTGCTGAGTATGCTGTTTAGTAAGATTTCTGAAACAGTTAAATACAGAGATCGTATGCTCTTTTTATTGGCATACACTCACTACCCATATAAGTGCATTTGTGTCAAAAAATAATTCTCATATTTACAGGAAGTGACAGAATTCCAGTTGTTGTCAGAGTATATAAAGCTTTCCATACACAATCTTTTTTATTATTAGACAGAGAATATAAAATCTGAACTGAAAATCAAATTCAATGCATCATGGAAACTGTATTCCTCAATAGCTTTTCTTAAACTTAATTCCTGCCCTGAAGAGACATCCTTCCGAGCCATCTGTTACGCTACCTAGTTCTCATAAAACTCTCCCTTTTACCAAGAGCAAATCATGTACTGCGAATGGATTAATGTATCATTATTTATATCCACACCAATGCAATTAAAAGTCCTGTGCTGCAAATTGTGCCTTATTTTGCTAACAGGTATGAGCACATATGCTATGTAAAAGGACTTAATTGGGTGGGGGAGGTATGCTATTTATAACCAATTAACTTATTATTTATCTGTAACAGTGTTTTGATAAACATGCATCATGTATTCGCCAGCCATTAGCTTGCTTAATAAACATGTATTTAAAATGTGATTCTTTGCACTGAAGCAGTTTACTTCTAACTTATGAAAAAATTACACTGGCAAAAATGCTGCATAACTGAGTTCTATTTTTAGTTAAATGGATTAAACTGTTCATGAAGACATGCTCTGCAAGTTGCCCATACTACTAGTTTGTTTTTCTCAGAAGATACAGCCATCAAAGAGCTCTTACTTTGATGTTAAGCCTGTTGTCTTTTTCACAGTTGGTATCATAACCAGACCTTCTAGGCACAGATCCCCAATCTTTTCCTGCATTAATGCTCCTTGTTAACAGTCACTGGCCTAGAGTTACGTAGTGTGGCTTTTTTTGTTAATTAGTATTATTTCACACTCCTGTTACTAACAGCAGCAGTTAATTTCCTGAAGAAGGAGGTATAATCAGTGACCTTTTTCACTTTATGGTGACGTTAAAATGAAAAATTTAGTTACGTTGCTGTCTCATCACTGTGATTTACAGGAATCAAAGTTCTCGTTCGTAACACTAACAAAAAAAAGCAGCTTTAATGTTTACTACACATTTAATGCATGTGCCAAAATGTAAAGTTAACCTACTCTCAATTTTCTACTGTGTACTGAGTGCCATTTATAAATATATTCCGTAAAAACGTCTAAAATAGAGTCTTGTTCCTGTAATATCCCTGGACATCCAGAAAGTCCTCTCTGAAAACTGGGTGAGGAATATAGTTCCAGAGCTTAACAATGTCACACAAGATCAGTTAGTTGCACATATTCCTAGTGGGGTTCAGTCTCTTTCAGTATAGCTTGTATTACAGTGACCCATATTTTACACACACAGCATATATTACTTGCTAGTTCAAATAAAAAGGTTATTAAAAATCTATTACACAGATCTGAAGAAAAAATAAGATGTCTTTGCTTTGTTCTTCCACCCCCCAATAGATTAATTTCATCATGTCCATGGATTACATATTCTGACAAGTGGTTTACGTTAAAATCTTTTTCAAGTACTTTAAAAACTGTTATACCAAAAAAGCTGCCTTTTTCTTCGCTTATTTTTTTCCTTAAAAAAAAAAAAGTACCTTCTACAATTTAACACAAAATTCAGGTGCAAGAATTTTAAACAAAAAAAATGAACTAAAGAGCTTTATTGACATCACAGTACATTCAATAGTAATTTTAAGAACATTACAGCTGAAAGAGAATGGCCTGGTTTATATTCTTAATAAGCACTACCGTTCTTGGGGAGAAAAAAAAAAAAAAAGGTAATGCAAAGAAATCCTATTAGGTATTTAATTCTGAGCAGCATTTGGAAAAAAATACACTTATTTACAGATAAAAAAAGGATTCTGGTTTCACCTACATAGCCACAATGTGCCTCTATAATGAGACAAGCCTTTATAACTCATGGAATTTTTAAACATCATAGCACTGGTGCCATAAATTCCTCAGCGTTTACGACGAAGAGGAGTCATTGATCTGAAAAATAGAAGGAAAAGGGGGCAAAAGTTAATTGGAAAAAATAAAAGACCCCCAAACCCACAAACACTTTAGGCTTTAGCTATTAACAGTTTTAAGAGATTTTTCCAAAGTTACTTTTGCCTAAGACAAAAAAAATTAACAAATACCATACTTTATTAAAAAACTTCATATGCCGTACACATGAAGACGAATATAAAAAAATAAAAGTAAAAAGTCAGACAAAATACTTAAAAAGTATACTACCTTGATCGTGACTTAGACTTGTGTTTGCGGCTTGCCTTCTTACCAGACCTTTGAGATTTCTCCATGGAGCATGACCGAATATGCTTCGATTTCTTAGCTTTCTTTTCTTTGCTGCTTCCTGGCGATTCAGAACTACTCCTCGCACTAGATTCGGAGCCTGACCGTTTTTTGCTATCTTTGGTAGTAATTCTTTTGCATTCTTGCCTGGAATCCTGTCTTATTATTTTCACACATATGGACTCACCGCGAGTGAAAGTTCTTTCGCTGTCCCTTTTTCTCTTTAATCTACTGTCGTCATGACTACCAGCCTTACTTTCTTTTTCCTCTTTTTTGGACCTGTCTTTCCTTTTTTCTTGATCTTTCTCCCTTTCTCTGTTCTTTTTTCTGTCCTTATCTACAGCTCCACCCTGCTCCTTCTTCCTTTCTTGGTCTTTACCCTCACTTTTATGTTTGTGCCTATTTCCAGGAGGGCTTCTACGCTGGTCTTCAGCTTTACGCCTATCCCTGCTTCTGCTGCGGCTTGCACGGTTAGCTCGCCTATCTCTGGAACGGCTACTACGTCTATCCCAGCTTCTCTCTCTTGAAGGACTCCGATTTCTTCGCCTCTCTCCTCTTTCAGCACTGTGATTTCTACTAGATCTTCTCCTTTCCCTTATTTTCTCCCTGCTCCTACTTCTCTCTCTCCTGTTTCTGTGGGTGTAACTCCTGCTTCTGCTGCGCCTAACTTTATGTGAAGGTGTCCTACTGCGACTGTGCCTCTTCTTCCTTTTAGGAGAGGAAGAACGTGAAGAGCTGCGACTACTACCTGAGCTAGTGCTATAGGATGAACTAGATACAGTGCTGCTGCTGCTACTGCTTCTGCTATTGCTGCTACTGCTACCACTGCTAGAGCTTCCTGACCCACTCCTTCCTGTCCTCTCTTTACCCTCTTTTTTAAGCTCTGTATCAGGAGCAATTGCATTTGGAGATCTTTTCTTTTCATGAACCATATCTGCTTCAATTTCTTTTGCCTCCTGTGATGCCGAGTTACTATTTTGTTCTTTGTTGATAAATTCATTCATCTCTTTTGAAACTTTTTCACTTTGTAGCTTTTCTTCTGGAAAAAAAAAAAGTGTGTAAAAGAAAAAAAGCAATTAACTTGGAGTGAAATGACAATAATTTCCATACCATTACTTTTGGCAAAACCAGATTTCCAAGCATCTTTCATAATACTTACAATAAATACACTGTCTGCCATCATGCCAACTACCCACCAAAAGACTTGTTTTCTCTTTTTGTAACTCTAGAAGAGCTGCAGTCCTGGTTTAGAAAAAGTGCACAACCCACTTTTAGAAGTCCTTGATGTTATTTCCTGTTTCAGTGGCTGAAGACAAAGTTCTCTAACAAATACCCTGGAGCACCAAAACTCTCAAACTCATCTACACAAACATTATTTTTCCTCCTGCAACTTACTAATTCTTTCCTTCTCCTTCCTACAACACTCCTCTAGCAGTACCTACACCTCCTGCTTTCCTTCCAGCCCCACTTATCTGGGTTCAAGTAATCACTGGCTGGTCTGAAGAAGCTGCATTTTCCATAGAGTGCACAGGCGGGCTCTCAACCTCAGAACAGCAGCTGTACCTGCATGTTCTGTAGGACCACAAAAAGCCTTAGAGGAATACCTTGTGCTGTAGTGACATGTTTGTTTTTTTTAAAGAAAACACTGGGTTTAGAGTGTAAGATAACTTAGATTAGTCCTAAATGCTAACAGGTACCAGCAATTCAAATTTTTCCTTGTTTTTATCGGTTTTATAGCAAATGAATTCTAAGGAAGGTAAGAACAGTATAAAAGAGAGACTTACAGATAATTCTTTGCTTAAGATTAAGCTCAAAAGTTAAGACCACAGTATTTAATGTGAATAGATTGTGAAGCTCTTACAAAACAAAAAATTAGTCAGTTTGGATTGTATGTAAGCTTGGTAGTCAGCATGGTAAGAAGACAACAGAATGTACAAATACGTTTCTTGAAAGTAACATAATATCAGGCCAAGATCTTCACAGAGAAAAGTAAAGAAATTCAGACCCTCAGAGCATTTTCCAGAGATTTCCAACCTTAAAAATAGTTTTACTTATTTCTATTCAACCTAGGATCCTTTGCATCACTGGCCAGGGTTTATCTCCTCTTCCCATTTTAAATTGAGCTCAAGAAAAAAATATCTGACATACATTTTTAGCCAAAAAAAACCCAAGCACAGCCTTTTCATGTGGGCTATCACACTGATGTGGACTGAATTAACTTATGGAATAAAACTGCATCTGTAAACCCAGTGATCTTAGTGGCAACTGAGAGTCAAATCTAACCCACAAAAAGAATTCCACCTGCTCCCTTAGATATTAGGTGATAAAGGCAGAAGCCAGACTACGTTAGAAGATGACGTGTTGTATTGTATAGTAGAAATATGCTGCCTTTCCTAAACACCACTACTGTGAGACCCTGAATTTAGTATTCTTTGGTATTCTGGATGTATAGAGTCAGCTTCTTTACTCCAGAGTTATATTTCTGTAAACAGCCTCATGGAGATGTCCCCAAAGTGACATACGGCTTCCTGCACTAGGAATACAGCAGTCACAGGCCACTACTCAGTCACTCTCCATAAAAAGCTATCCTATTATGCATACATCTTACAATACGCAGACAGACAGGAATATTAAGGAACCCAAAAGTTTAGCTAGTTCAGCCTTTTATTAAGAGATCCATATGTCTTATTTCTAGGCCTTTAAAATAAAAAGAGGAAGTCGTCCATCTTGAAATAAGAAAAAAGTATGCTATTGTAATAGCACTTTATTTCTTCTGCAGCTTATGAACTTAGCTCATGACTTCTGCCCACTGTATTTGTGGGTTGATCTACGCTGCTCTTCAGCAGTCCAAGGTGACTGTGATTCCCTTTTGACCTACATTATTGGTACAAAAGGACAAACCTTACCTTGCACAGAGAAGAAGAATTAAGTTAGAGATTTGGTTTTGGTTTGTATTTTAAAATCAAGCCTGCCACCTTACGAGAGGCGAAGCGTGAACTGACTGGATTCAGATATCTTTCCCCAGTATTAGGTATAAAACCCCAGTTATGAAGAACCAACATGTGGAAACAAACCTCTGCTACAACTGAGAACAGCGAGTTTGAAGAAGCTGCAGCCTACCACTGTACGTTCCGAATGGAGCACTGCTCAACATTATGTAACAGAAAAGCATGGTTTTTAGATGATGCAAAATATGCTTTATATACTTAAAAGTATATACAACTTTGAGGAATCAAGTTTATACAAACTCCAGTCTGGTGCAGAAAGGTGAAATTTACAGTCTAGTCACAACTGAGATACTAATAATTTTTAAAAAATATATTATACACACACATGAATTTTTATAAAGCAATACTAGTATTTATATAGTACAATATCTATAGCATATAGATACGCACCATGCCTTAACTCTGAAGTAAATATTTTATTGAAAACACTACATGGATTTTTTTTCTTCTTATAAATAAAAGCAGCAAACCCCATTTTGATCAAGTAGCTCAAACCACCTTTTTTGTGAAAACTTTTAAAAGAACATTATTTCTAAATTTGATAGTTATTGGCTTAAAATGTATTTTCTCTAAGTAGTAAACCCCATATACAGCAGTATATGTAGCATATGTGTATGTATGTAAGCAGTGTATGTAAGAAGACATTATATGATTTACCTTCTAGCTGTTTTTCTAGTAGTAGTTGCTGTTCTCTCTCTTTTCTCCAAAATGCTTCCTGTTTTTGCCTGATTCTGTGTCGTAATTCCTCATCATCAGTATCAGATGATTCAGAGCCTCTGTCACTCCTCTCATCTTCACTGTCTCCTGATCCATAACCACCCAGTCCACCTGCGTGCATAAAGTCCAGTCTATCACGAGGAAAGATTAAGCTTTGTTCCTAATATTTCTGTGGGGCAAAGAGGAGAGTAACATTGCCCTTCCTTCACTTCCTCTTCTCTGATGAAGTCACTTTATTCTGGTAAGCGCCAATGGTGTTTGACTGGTGTGACCAAGGCCCCCATATCTGCATTGATGCTCACTGTCTGGTTCTACTTCTTCTGGAATGTTTATTTTCAGCAGGCAACCACTGTGATCATGGTACTTTTTCCATTGCATGGAAGAGCAAAAAAGCTCTCTGTGGAGATCGTAACAGTGCCTGCCTCTGTATCAGCAACTGGACAGAAAATGCCTGGGACCTTTCCCAGAAGACACCTCTGAAATTACTTCAGCCGCCTCCGCAGTCCAAGGCTACAGAAATTCTGAATGCCATTTCAGTTTTCCTATATTGATTTAGAAAACACTGCACTTTGACAGGTATGGAGATGGAACAGAAATGGACTTTCTTCTCCCCTAGAGATATTAATAATTACTGGACTGGTAAGAAAGATAAAGTCAATTTAAACAACTGACATGGAGATATTTTACTTTCTTTCAGGCTGAGGTTCTTATGATCTTATTGACTTAGTTTTAAAACGTGAATAATTGTGATAACATTCAACCTAATTAATCAGAATTCCAAGTTACAAACACATACCTGATCACTGACACTGATAGTCTTAGATAATAAAAAGCATATTGGGAAAGATCTTTTGCTATTGTTTCTCAAACTGGGATTTCAAACTCTTTTTCTTGTGTTGTTTCTTGTAATATATCATATGGGAGCCTCTGTGCTTAATTAGGTAAAATGATAATACCAAAGATAAAAAAATATTTTTATTTCTAGACTTTCATGTTAATCTATCAGCTTTCTCTTCCTGCTTGGAAGGATCAAAATAGGAAAGAAATACAAACAGTATTCCTCTCTCTGAAGACTGCAGTATGCTTCTGAAACAATCATACTTCGAAAAGTAAATTTATCTGAAGTTTTTATGTATTTTCAAAATTAGGGCAAGATTCTCACACACTAACTCACACTGACTAGTCCTTTACTCCAAAAACCATCCCACTTATATCATTAGGATCACCTGTGGAACAAACAAAAGTGCTGATAAAGTTATCAGAAAGTGACCCATACTCCTGGGCAATGAAAATCTAGTTTCAAAACGCAATTCTAGAAATGCAAGGCAAGAGTGAAACTCCCCCTTTAAGCCCTCTCAAAAATAAGGAACATACTTACCGAGTCCAGTGAGGGAAGCCAGTGCACTGGACTGTGCCAGCTGTTTTGCAGGAGCTTTGTATCACATCAACAACAGGAACAACATGTTAACACAAATAGCCACGATTTCATAGTCATGAGTCTATGGTATTGTTAAATCTACTACTATTGCTGTTCTTTGGAGGGAGAGAAGAAACATTAAAAATGCATCATCCATTTAAAACCACTTCTAGATTTTCTGACCACGAAGATTTAGAATTTAACTGCAAATTAACAGTGAACAGAAAAAAAGACACAAATATACTCATAAATCACTTTCCAAGTTACAGCATCTGCACATCATTTTCAAGTTTCAGTAGTTACATGTTTAGATTACTCAGTTATGTTAAAGAAATCTTTTACGCAAGTACAATATGTGTTAATAGTGAAAGGAAATTAATTACTAATTGAGGACTCAACGCTTGTCTCTTTTCACTTCTGAACAGCTAAGAACTTGAGATAAAGATGACAGCATTAAGAAACAGCTACAACTCAAGAGCCATTGACACACAGGTACCATTTTATCTAAAATGAATTGTATGAAAGAAATGAAGTAACTCACAATACACTGCACAGGATGACAGTACATGATCACTGGTTTTGAACTCTACCAAGTTGGATGCATTATACTAAAATTGTTCTTGGGGAGTAACTATGGAGTTTAAGTGTTCTAGAGACATGCAAATATAGAATATTCACTGAAGAAACTAACAAAAAACCCCAAAAGAGCTGGCATACCTTTAGTTGCTTTACGGTGAACATCTTTGGCCACATAATAAATTTCTTCATTTGTGACATCTAGGAGAATCTCTGTCAGCAGCATTTTTGTCAGCATCATCTGAAGTAAACGGTATTTACAATTAAAGGCCAAAACACCTTGAATAAATACTATGTTTAAATTATGTCCATAGAGTTTTCCTTCTTTTGATGGCTGTTAAAATACTCTCCTACATGTGTTATTTTATGACTTCTCGGAACATATGATTTAAAAACATAGGTCTGAAACTGTTTAAATTTGACCTGACTTCAAAAATTTTAGAACAGTTTGTATTTTGACTGTGAACTGTATCCATGTGTATTACACACCGCTGATTCCTAAAGTCAAAAATGATACAATGAATATGTAAATCAGAAATGTACTTGGACTGACCCCATTTATTTTTCAGAAAAGAATAAAGAGCACATTTAAGTCTGATATGCTGTCTCACTGACCCCAATCTTGCAAAAATCATCAGAGGTAACTTATGTAGGATTTTATTATGACATACTTCCTACAAAAATTGAAAATGTTGGTAGCTAGTTCTCCAAGCTGCTCTGCCTGGCCACGTGCTTTGCAAAAATACAGGGCTTTCAATTAACAAGGTTTCAGTTGTACAATTAGCATGCTACTTTGATTTCAAAATATGAAGTTTCTAAATTCCTGGTGACATAGAAAAATTGTTGCTCATCTAGGACTTTCTTGCAAGAATACATTTCTAAAACTCCCTTTCACAGAAACTGAGGTTTAAGCATAGATTTCAGACACTTAATCATCAAAAGTTTTCAGAAATTTGGCAAATTAAGCAAAACCACAGAATTAATAATGATCAGTGTGTAGAAATCACAGTCATTACATTATTTCACTGTTGTGCTAAATACAAATTATGTAACCCATATCCTTGTATATATGAGAAAGAGCAATATAGAGACATGCAAATATAACTCTGCTTTACAGTATGTGCGCTATACCTCTATTGATAGCATCAAGCAGAGAAAAAGTGTTTTACTTTGCTGTGCCTGGAAAACAGGAGCAAACAGACAGAAACACTTAGTGAGAACTACATTATTAATACCATTTGATACTCCTTTTCCTCCTCTGTCATTTCTGGTTCGCTTTGCTCCTCTTGAGGAGCCGGGGATGGACTCCTGCTGGTTTTCCCAACGCTTACAGCTTCTGTGTTTTCAGCATCTTCATCTTCCTCATCACTGTCCTACAAGAACAACATCATGTATTTCAGGGAAAACTTAGATGCCAAGCTCATTAGTGTCTATTGATGACAGTCAACTTAATTTACTTTGTACTGAAGTCTGTATTACAGTTATCATAAAACTCTCCTTCCCCCCTCCCAATAAACATGCAACTCCGTCTCTACCCACAGGAGATAACAAAATACAGAGTTGTCAGTTCACTGCCAGAGAGGTACTGAGAACTGCTAACAACTGAGATAACTGCTAAAGTGAACAGAACATAAGGTTTCCTAAATGGGCTCAGTTTAGCAAATACAGGTATCTAAATTTTTCAGCTGCTTCAAAGACCATGCATGCTCCCAAAATACAGAAAAGAAAAAAGCCCAATTTCATCCTTGCTTCTTTGCTACACACATCAAATAACATACTTTTACCTTTCAGACATTAGCAACTCCAAAACACCAAGTAATTATCTACAAAGCAGCAGCTTAACCTTAGTTTTAAGCTACAGAATCAAAGAGAACCAAGAATACACAGTCTCTCTTTTGAGGAGACCAGGAAGTTGATACCTTTCAGGAAATACAAACCTGAGCAAAATGCAACCACTTCTACTTACAAATTTACTTTTCTGAGGTAACCGTGGGCCATCCCCTTCTCCAGCCTCCTCACTTTCCTTTTTTTCTTTTTTAGACAACTGTGAACGTTGCTGCTCCATCCTCTCTTTTTCCAACTTTTTCTGTTTTTCTCGTTCCATCTTTTCCAGGCCCTCACGAATCCAGGCAGGCAGAGTTCTACGCTTCACAGCATCTGCATAAACAAGGTTTACAGTTCTGCAAGATGAACAAACCCTTCCCCAAAAGAAGAAAAAAAAAAACAAACCAAGCAAACCCAAAGAAATAAACCCTTCACCCCGATCCAAAAATGCCACACATCTGATTGTGGGAAGAAAAAAAAACAAAGCATTTACAATAGCTTTGCCTTTCCCTTCTTTTGTACTTTATATATATATGTAAAAAAAAAAAAAGTCTTCAAATTTTTATTTTTTTTTATTAAGGAGTGGTTAACATGTACCAATCTGTGGAGGCTCCTGCTTCACAGGCATCGTGATAGGTGAACGCTGTCGGTCTCTGAATGAGGGTCTTTCCCTTCGATTTTGAGGAGGTGCAGAAGGTGCTGGTGGACCTGGTGGTCCTGGCGGTCCTGGCTGCCAATAAGGTGGGTGAAAGCCACCTTGAGGTGGACCAAAAGCAGCCCCATGCTGAAAGAGTAATGCAGTTTATTTTTCTTCACATGGTAACACTAAATACAGCATGTGTGCAAGTCCATGCAAGTAGAAATCCACGATTTCTAGGCTACTAAGAGCTCTTAATCTCTTTCTGTGGTCCCCAAGAAACAAGATTTCCTTAAATATTTAATGTGTCAACTTAGATTGAAGCAGGGATCCTAACAAAGCTGAAAGGGCTTCAACCAGTCTCCTTTTATACTGTCCTAAACAATAAGCCCAACAAGCACCACCTATCTCCAGCAGTTCCTTACCAGCTTAACATCAGAGCATGCAGTTAAATGAAGAGTATACAAAACTAAAAAGTCTAGCTATGGGCGCAGTCTTTCCTTGTAACTACAACATGAGGACAAAAATGGAAAGTTCAAGCTTTTATTACAGAAGTGTTTTGCACTGTGCACTTCCCAGAAATCTTTCATGGCTGCTGCTAATATGGCTGATTAAAATATTAACTGCATCAATATGCAAGTACAGGAGAGACCCTCGGTACTGAGGAAGCTGTATACAATACAAAAGTCACAAGTCTTGAAGCAAAGATGGGGGGATGGGAGTGCTTTAGTATTTTCTGCCCAGAAATGCCTAATTAAACTATTTAAGAGGAGAGTGTTTAGGAAGAGAGTTACAACATCAAATCTGGTTTTATTATATTTTACTGTGTATTTAAGTCACTAGTGCTAAAAACACTCTTCCACTACAATTTCAGCTTGAGCATCTTCCTGTTATTCACTGCAAAAACAAGTTTTCTGTAGAATTTAGAAAAATTAATTTTAAGAGTTGATCTCATAATAGTAAACAAAGGAAATTATACTAAACTACTGTATTTGAAAATTACTGGTTCACTTCCTAACAATATTGCTGAAAAGAATTTAATAATAAAGTAGGCCAGAAGATAAACACTCATTTCTACCCATCTTCACTTGGGTTTGTTTATGAACAGGAGGTGTTTTAACAGGTACAGATGGTCTTTTATAGCCAAGTTTTGGAAGAAAAATACTGAAAACAGGAAGAAGATCAAAAAAATTTGTACTTTAAGATTTGCAATGCCCTCTGCTATTATGAGCACTAAAACCACCTACAGATTTATTATGCTATGCAATTTATATGCCAGAATGAAGAAAAAAAAGTGTATGTGGATTTTTTTAGAAATACCATTGTTTATTCAAAGAATCACAGTAGATAGGTATAGAGAAGCTCAATGGATCATCTAGTCTATCTCCCTGCAAATACAGGACTGTTCCCTATGGTACGTTATCTAGTGGTTTTAGTACATATTTCTGAGATTATTTTTTTTTCCTCTTCCTCCTCTGTTTTTTTTTACTGTTTCTTTTTTTAACCACAAAACTACACAATGTTAATTTCTATACTGGAACATGATGATTTGTTTTAATACTGCAGACAACAGCCATTTCTCATTACTAGTATAGGAAAAAAAAAACCCTTTCGCCTCAGAACAGAACTGAAAACTCTAAAGTCTCTTCTGCAAGGTATTTGGTAAAAATGTATCTTAGCAGATAACAGATTCTGCAGATGTTTGTAGAACTGAAGAATGAAAGTCACCGCTAGATGATATTAGAGGAACACATCCACGGAAGAGACTCGGCACGCCTACAATATTAAAGCAACAAATATGTTTCACCTGATAGTCAAACTGGTTCACTGGCCCCATTGCAAAGTTATCGGGAGGTCCCCCAAAGTTGTGATTGTTCTGGTTAAACATATGCCTGTTGTCGGAAGCAAATTCCCCACTGTCCTGACTGTTGCTGTCTTCGGACGGAGGAACAATTTCCATCTGACCTGGGGTTGGAGTCATCCACTGCTGATCTGGAGGTGGGTGAGGGGGCTGGTGAGGCATTCCCCATTCTGTTTAGGATTTAGAATATAATTCAATACCAAGTTAGTACAATTTATGAGTCACCAATCACTCAACATTTTTGTACCTCTCAAAAGGTTCCTTCCTCAAAGCAACACAGATGATGAAGTTATGAAAAATCATTAATCTACAGACTGTTCCACACTGTCTTAACAATTTCTTCAACTTACTGAAGGAAATACAAATAGCTGTAGCTGAACTAACACCCAGGGGCTGGGGGCAGAACTGTATGTACACAGACACACTGTACATCTGTTTTTATAAATTTCCAATGATACTCAGTCCATAGCACTTATAAACTGTATAAATTGTAGAAGAAGTGACCCTACTTCTCTACTTCAACTTTCTAAGTAATGAGCTATTTTATTCCTTCACATAACAGGCTTAGAAGACCTGTTAAGGAAAGCTAATGGTTTTCTGAGGAGCACAGCCACTGAAACCTGCTTTCCAAAGTCTTCTGTCTTAATAATGGGTGATTCCCAGGATTCTCCAATATCTAGCAGAGGTCCTAGCATAAGCTACAGTCATAACCCCTCAAACGAAAGTTACAGCTGGCTAACAGAGCAAGAAGTGCCTAAGGAATGAATTAATAGGTCATACGGCCATAACCTTTGTCTTCCTAGGAAATAAGTCTAAATACTCCTGAAGTATTCTAAAGGACAGAATCCTTTATCCTTTAAATACAGCTTACAAGAATTATTGTTAATAAATGCATTAACATTTGACACTATTTAAATGCTCAATTTACATCAAGTCAACTGATATGGAGAAGGATTAAGCTTTGTAGAAACGAAGTAAATATGTGAAGAGAACTTTGGGTAGCAGTGCATGGTATGATTCAGTTTGTCTACTTTTACACACTGAGAACAACACTGGCTAAATTAAGGGAAGCTAGGTCATATCTTCATCAGCATGGTCTTTTATTAGCATCCCAAAAAACTGGGAAAACAGCATATCCTTTGAATGATATACCCAATCATAACAAAATGCATTGGCACATTGTTTCCTGTCAATAAAAAGGGGTTCCATTCTTCTCACTCCTAGATCTAGGCTGTTTTCCTGTTCTGCATTTTCTGTGTGAGCTTGGGCACCAAGCATTTACGATTATCAGTAAAAATGTCTTCCTCATTTTTACTGTTCTGTGACTGTTTGCAAAAGATACTATTTAAGATATTATTCTCTTTCACCTTAGAGACAGCAAAGCATAGGATGAATATGCTTTATGTGAGCATACTCGCACCACAGGATCATATGAAAAACGAAGTGTCCAATGACACAGTATTTCTGTGAAAACCTCTACCTATATAGAAATACTGCTAGAATACACACTGTGTATTGCCACATAGTAAAGTTCACATTTTTGCATATGGCTACAATAACTTAGAGCCCAGAGCAGGCAGGTGAAACTTATGCAAAACCTGATGGCTACACCTCCCTTTTGTAAAGCATACCTAAGAACTGCCAAGGACATTTTCAGCCTACTTCTATGAAGCACTGCAATAAAACAAATGTGAATAGTCACAGTGAAAACTGGAGGTGTTACTCTTTCAATCATTAACAGAACCAAGCATGAAGTGCAGTTTTCACCAAGATGACAGAAAGCATGCATACAGGCTTACTAAACACCTTGCTCATGCATTTCCAATTGCATTAAGAGAATGGTGAGGTAACAAACTTTCAGAAAACAACTTCAGAAAAAATTCAGCAGAAAATACTCAATCTCTACCCCATGCTTATTGCCAGTGTTACTTTATGAAGTTTTAAAAAGAAAATGAATTTTTGGCCAAAACTGAAGTTTTGAGGAAGTTATAAAGAACTGAAATAACTGATATTAATAGAAACATTCAATCAACTTGTAACTGAAAAATTATGCAGATGACAATCAGATACATAAGCAAAAAATGGAAAATACTAAGTATATGAAACTGAGAATCACAGAAACAACTAGGTCAGAAAAGGCCTTTAAGATCATCAAGTCCAACAATTACCCCATGACTGCCAAGTCCACCACTAAACCATGTCACTAAGGGCCTCATCTGCACGGTGTTTGAACACTTCCAGGGACAGTATTCCACTACTTCCCTGGGAAGCCCATTTCAATGCATGAAAAAATATTTTACAGATAAAATTTTGCTCATCTCATTTTTCAACATTTTAACGCACCCAAACCCAGGATCTACAAGCTATATTGTGAACTCATTCTACATGTCAAGATTACGCAAGAAGCAGGTATTACACTACAGGAGAAGGCAACATATACTCTTCAATTCTGAGGCATCCTGTTGCATTCAGTGCTGCTGTTCCTAGGGCAGTGGGATAAGCAAAACACAACATAAGATGTAAGAATAAGAACCCAGGGAAATAGATAACTGCAATTCACACTATCTTTCTGCAACAGTCAGGGACAGAACAAATCTTTTGCTTATGTATATTATAAACACGATTTATTTTATACAAAGATTACTGAATTGTGTTATCAGACCTTTGTGTCTGTACTGTTACACATTTTGTGGAACACTTGACTGGGTAGTAGCAGCTGTGATACTCAGTTACGATGCTACTGTTAGTTTTGCATCTTGAAACCTAAGGGACAGGGCATATTCGCACCCAAAAATGTCTGACAAAATTAAAATTTCATTATATATTAAATAAAACTAAAAACGAATGCATGGGAAGGAAGACAAACCTGGCTGCCACATTCTGTTGAAGTTGGGATCCCCCTGAAAATTATTATGGTTGTTTGGACCAGACTCTATTCCTGAAATATCCTGTCCGTTCGGCATCATTCCTTGTTGTTCCACTACACTCTGTTGCCCTGAGGCTTCTCGCTGAGCAATCCATGCTTGAGCTAATGCAGCCCAGTCAATCTGGCCTAAAATAAACAGAGGAAATATAAAAGGTTAGTATTCACATGCCTGAAGTTTAAATGTTTCTCAATTACATGTATCACTGCTCAAGAGAAATGGTCAACGTTTACCTTCAGCAAGTACCATGAGCACCATTGAAACACACAGTGTAGAGTAAAACAAACTGAAAGCAAATGTCAGTGTACATACTTGCTGAAGTAGCGTTTCTCTGCATACGTTTAAAATGCCATAAGGCAGATTATTTTAGGTTCACATTAGCACTGTATGGGTGGTAGCAATACATTTTTTACCTAAGTGATTTAGTTTTGATATCAGAAAAAAAAAATATATATAGCCTTAATTTCTAAACTCAAGTCCAAGAAAGATGCATAGTTATAAATTTATAAATATATAAATATACATTTTGCAAGGTATAGCCTTTGTATAACCCTCTATTTCTGGAATGCATATTTCTCTCCCCCCTTTTTTTCTTTACTACCATTCCTTCCTGTAAGTAAGTTGCACTCTCAGAGGAGGACACTAGTCTGTGTATTATGCTCATTATCAAGTCACGAAATCTCTCTAGTGAAGTTAGAGAAACTGAAGTGACAGAAAGCAATGTAAAACCAGTGTGCCCAATCACCCAGATTATCAAATACACACCTTCGCTTTCTTTTACCTATTCCTATATTTCTCTTCATGCTTTGAACTGCTGTCACCTCACTCTCAATTTCAGGTTTATTGCTTTGGTGGGTTTATTTTTTTGATGGGGGAAAGAAATCCAAACAAGAGATCATGATCATCACTGCTGTAACCTAAAATACCATACCAATCTTCCAGTGAGAGTTTTTCTGTGTATAAACTTGCATTAGTATTTCTGCCACACAAGCACTGAATAAAAAGCAGATTTCCTCAAATAAATAATTAATCTTGGCTATAGAACTGGCAGAAATACAGATTCTGTAACTCACAGGGACAGATTCTGTAAAAGTACGTAAGGTCTAAATGTTAATCAGTATGACTGGTAAAATGTTGATAATTTGTCCAGGATAACTCAGGTTGCTTGTCTGTACTTTGCATATTAAATATTAACTATGTTAAAACATTTGGAATTGACGCTATTTTTCTAGTTCTTTAGAAAAACATTATAACTGTATTATCTTGGGAGCAGCTACAAAAAGGCAACTATCAGTCATGCTCTGAACAAAGATTCACAAATCCAATTGACAACAGGAAAAATAAAAGAATCCACGAAGCTTTCCATATACTTACTTGGATCTTGCTGGTGCTGAAATGACTGCATCCACTGCTGTTGGTTCAAAGGCCATTGCTGCCAAGGTTGTCCACCTTGATCCCACATCTTTTAAGTCTTTATATAGTCTATATTTCAACTAAAAATAATAGTTGTATGTTTAAATAGATGCCCATGAAATATCACATAACTGAAACTTACATAACTGCAGACACAGTTAAGCCTTGCAAAGCAAGCTGAAGCAATGCTGGCTTAATATTTTAAGCTGGAGGAAACAGTTCATCCTTTAGAGTAATATCTGCAAACATTACCATCAGTTTCAGAAGCCCAGTATGCTTTCTCTGTATTTTCACAAAGAAATTAACTACAAAATGACGTTCAAGGAGAGGTTTGACAAGTTTATAAGACAAGAACTCATCTGACAGTAAATGCAATTTAAAGTCAAAATGTAAAAGACATTAAGTGATATCCTTGCCTGTTTCTTAAGGAAAAGATGTGTATTTTTCTATACAAGTGTCATGCAAGTCTGTTAAGCGAGACAAAGGAAAATCACTGAATGGTAAAACACATCATTAATGATTGCACAGGTACAACAAGGTGTCCACATGCATTTTATGTGCTGTACAGGCTCACTGTAATTTCTAAACAATACATGCTTTGTGAGGAAGAAGAAAAAAAAAACCCACAAGCCTCTGCTTAGCTGCGCATTTACCACATGGTCTCTTAAAATCATGAGAAACATTTGTTGGTGCTGTGCTCCATGCCCTGAGCAGGGAGCAGCAGCTCTAGGACCCGATGGCTCCATAACCTGCTTTAAGTGAAGCTCCAGGACCAGCTTTGCAAGAATCTGACAAGGCAGAGCAGCCTACCAGGTTGGTATGCCTATAATGGAATGCCAGCTCTTTTCCCGTCATTTGCACCTCCTGCGTACACCTAACCTGCTACTACACATGGAGGACCAGTGGCCACCTGCACTGCTCCAAACAGCTTTTCTGAAGACAAACCCTGGGCGCAGTTTTGAGAACATTCTAGAAGCTGTTCCCAAACACCAGTGGGGTAAGACTCCCTCTGTCCTACCCACTTCGCAACAGGCTTCACTCTCAAAGAACATATCCTCTTACCATTCACCAGACAATCCTTGATTTCACGCAATAAAACCATCAACCATGTAGGCTATTTCAAATACTCCAAACTTAAAAGAAACAGAAACATTCATTCACAGGAGGTGCACACAAAACCTCACTGTGGCTCACAGCCAAGTGCAATACAGGATAGATGAGTACAGCCTGTCAACTTCAGAAGAAAGTAGCTCAGAGCAGCCAGTGCCACTCAGGTGGCCAGCCAGGAACATAACCACAACCGCTCTTACAGAGCAGGATGCAAGCAGCCCTGGCTCTGGCAAAGCCAGACAGAGCTGGCTTTCAGCACACAGAAAAATAGAGTAGATCCTACTTGCAAAGGGATCTCATGCTTAGTGCTTACACATTCATACAAATAATTACATGACTGCATAGGAAGAGAGCATCACGTTGCAAAAACGCACAACAAAAAAAGCTATACAGAACATCGTGGGGTGTTGGGTCATGCAGAGGTGAATGCAAGCTTGTCTCTTGCATACTTCTGTCATATTTTCTTTTTAATCTGAAAAATTGGAGAACACCTTTGTTCTGAAACCACTTATATTCAAGCCAGTACAAAAATTATGCATGTACGGCTCAGAAAAATTCATTTGCAAATGCCTTTTGGGGGAGGGGGGGGACACAACACAGGACTGCAGGGGGGGGAGCTTAAAACAAGACCAGATCAACTTTACAACAGCAAGAGCACTGGGCAAAACCTACCTTACCATTTTCACTATCTTTTCCTACAAAATTCAGTATGGTGGTTGTTTTTTTGTGGTAAGGTTTTTTGGTTTTTGGTTTTTTTTTCTTTCGTCCTTTTTTCTTTTTTACATTTTTATCTGTACCTAGGAAATCAACTTTCTTATACCAATTGAGTGCAAGGCTGGCTAATAATGCACTTAATGCAACATTTAAGCAGGCCCTCACATACATAACTCTCCAAATACTCCTATGTGCATATTTCATACACCAAGTATGAAGTAGTAACCTCATATACTATTTCCACCCTAAAGAAGAAAAAGATAAGTTTCTTCCTCCCCTCAGTTCATCTTTCCATCCAGAATCCAAATTCTTTCAATTGTCAAAATAAACTTGTTAACATCTTAAACCAAAGTTGTAACAACTGTGGTTCAAGATAACCACCAGCCCTGAACAGCCTCTCCCTTTGTTCCCAGCTGTTAAATCACAAATTCAACTGAAGTGCAACCTCTTACATACAGCTTTTACTTGATAGGATCAGATGAGATTTAATTTTATAGGACTGTTTCTGTCCTAAAATCTTAGATACTTTGGATTTTTTTTTTTTTACATGCTCCAGCTAACAGAATTAGATTGTAATAAACTTTTGTACCTGATAAAATGCTTATCAGTTATCTGTTTCTCATGGATTCTGCACTGAAAAGGACATTCAGTATTTGAGCCTTTTCTTGTTTATTTGCAGGCCTTGATCCTCACTGTGGACAAGCTGAAGCACCAGTTTGGAGAGTAAGAAGGCCAAAGGTAGCAAATGCCTCCAGATCTCCTGTGCATATCCTGTCCCTGAAATAGCAACTATCTTACCATTTTATAAAGTGTTCAAAGAAATTAACTCAACTTTTTGGTGATAGGGAGATAAATTATTCTGCAGCTATATCAACTGGCATCTGAAAAGGTGACCACGAGACACAGAATACAGGCAGTGACTTTAGGCAGCAACACCAGGCAGCAGCAACATTCATTCCCCTCCTGGTTTCCCTCTCAGCATAGGATGCTGAGGCCAAATCCACACTCCAAAGGACTCCACCATCTCCCCATCAGAGAGCAGCACTGACCCAGGACACCTAGCATTCATCCAGGCTGCTCCCAAACACGTTTCAGGTATCAGCACAGACCTGGGACTCAGAAGGCAGTTAAGACGTGTTCATTCTGGTTTGGAAGGTCAGGCACTCACCCAGTGCCAGCTGGCTTCAGGGCCAGAATGAATAACCCTGTCAGGTTTTAGCTGTTACCGTACATAGCTGCTTCTTCATCAGTCTGCAACATAATATGGCCTAGAGTCTTCAAGAGGTTATCTCACCTTATTATTGCTATTTTGGGCAGAGAAATCAGGTGGGGGAGTTCATTTCTATTTTGATGCACAAGAAGACAGCAACAGCTGTGTAAAACCTTGAAGAACTTTAACATTTGGTTAATTCAATTTATGCCATCCAGAACAGACTGATTTAAGATCACTGCTATTTGAACCTGCTAAATTTTGTTCATGGACTGTATTTGAAAGCTTTTAATTCTGTATTGCATTTGTACTTTCACTATTTTCCTGAAGAAACGTTGATTTTCTTAGGTTGGCAACTATAAAAAATGCTGGCTTTCAAGCACACAGATTTATTACCAAATTCAATATAAAAGCTTTCTTTACTCATGAGGAATATGTACTACACAAATACTTAAGCAATTGCATCACTTTCTTTATGAAACTGAACACGCAAAAGCCCTTTTTCAAATATCATGTGAAAACTAGCCAAAACTATTATTAATTCTTATTTTTATTTCAATTTGATCTTCAGTATGCTATTCTTTGAAAAGAAACAAACTAGATATGAAGGAATATGAGCATCTTAAAATGTTTATAAAACTAACCTTAAGGTATATTGGCTAAAAGACCACATGTATTCAAATTCTTTAATACTGAAAACGAAATGATATATTTTAATATGCTCTATTCAGAGACAGTGAACAGAACTGGTTTGCTGTATGGCCTCTCCATCTGTACGGTGACCTGAAAGAAAGGGACACCATTGCTAATTCCTCCGTTTTTTGCTCCCTACTTGGTTTCCTGCACCTTTTCAAAGTTTTCACTCACTGGTATAAGGTAAAAATGGAAAAGGTACTTGATGTACAATCTTCTCAGTACAGAGAGGCTACAGGCATTCAAAGATGAATTTACTGTCTTTACAAAATATTCTGCTAAGCACTGTTTAATGGTTTCATCTCCTATTAAGTTTCTGAGGCAAACAAACTGGCTTTAGTTACTCCTTTTTACATAAAAGTAATGTAACTTTGTATACTGTTTGGGAAACTTTACTGCGTATATAAAACTCTTAAAGAGAATCTCATTGTCCCAGGAGACATCTCTGACAGTTTCCTTTGCTAATGATGCTAATTTAAAGATGTCGAAAATAAAAACAGTCTGAGGCAAGTCTTCTGATAACGAACAAACCAAATCGACACTTTTGAACCTCAGTGCCATACAATGAAAGGGAAAGGGCACAAACTGTTTCTAAAAGAACTCAAAAAACACAGCAAAGAAAATGTAGCCTGTTTCCAGCAACTTTACATTTACTGCAAGAGATTCACACCCAACCTGGGGAAAGCAGAGACAACACCAAACCCAAAACCAATAAACAGTGCCTCTCCACCCGCCAAATAGGTAACTTAGAGCTTGAAACAGTTGAAACCTCTTGCACTAACGTATGTGGACAAGAAGCAAACATTTTCCTGAGACACATAAAGTAGTAATAATGGAGAAAAGAGAAGCAAAGTCTTCTCCCACCTAATTAAAATCTGCACTGCCAAAACTAACTTAGGGTGCTGCCACATGAATTATAAATGAGTTTTAATTTCTTACAAAAAGAAAATAAAAAATCAGCATCACCTGAAAGAGGCTTCACCTATCACAGCAGGAGGCTCTTAGGCCCACTAATAACAACACATGGCCAAATACACATCAGAACATCCAAATCGCAGTGAAACAAGTTTTATTTTCCACTGAAGGGGGGGAGGAGGCGATGAACACTGGCTATAATCTACTAAATTCAAACCTTAACAAGACGTTAACAGAGAGGTACAAGAACTGAGAAATCATTAAGACTCACCGGTTCTAACACCACCAGTGCTTACAACAGGCTTTGAAAAGCAAACAGGTTCAAAGAATGGATCGATTTTACAGGTACCTATTTGCAAAGGAAAATGCAGATACTACCCCTCTCATGATGATGGTGTAAGCTTTTTTTATTTACCTCTTCTATCCTCCATTTGGACACAGCGCTTCTGCTTTCTCTAGCAGACACAGAAGAACACTTATTGGTGCTTAAAGAGACATTCCTGATGTTAAGATCACAGAATAAGAACCTGACTCTATTAAAAATCTGTTTACCAATGAAGACATAAGCCAATTCGGGATTCTTTTTGTTTTATACAGAGGCACAATCACACAGGAAAAATATCCCATCAATTCGCATTTAATTTCAGTTACATGTCATCATGAAAAGTTACATGTCATCATGAAAAGTTAACATGAAATCTTAAGATTTTGCTAGAGTATTTAAGAGCAGCCATGTTCTGAAATACATTCTGTCATATGTTTACAAGTGTCCTGGGTTCAGCAGTAGCAGTCATGTTTCTCCTTCTTGGTAGCTGGTGCAGTGCAGTGTTTTGACTTTCGGCCTGGGAACAGAGCTGATAGAGATGTTCTGGTTTGGCCAAGGACTTTCTGAGCCTCATGCTCTGCCAGGGAGGAGGGGAAGCCAGGAGGAAGCAGAGACAAGACACCTGACCCAAGCTAGCCAAAGAGGTATTCCATACCACAGCACGTCATGCCCAGGATGTAACTGGGAGTTAGCCGGAAGGGCTGGGGGACTGCAGGGTTGGAGGAGGTATCGATCAGAGCTTGGTCAGGCTGGGGGGGGGGCGAGTTACTGATCGGCTGGTGCTGAGGTGTTGTATTCTCTTCCCTTGTTATTTCCTTTATCATTGTTATTATTGGTAGTAGCAGTAGTGATTTGTGTTATACCCTAGTTACTAAACTGTTCTTATCTCAACCTGTGGGAGTTGCATTCTTTTCGATTTTCCTCTCTGTCCCTCCGGGAGTAGGGGGAGGGAAAGAAGGGGGGGAAGTGAGTGAACAAGCTGTCTGCCTGGTTTTAAACCACGACAACAAGAAAAAGATTCCTATTCAAAGGAGGGACCAACTGGAACTCTATTCAAAGGCAGGATCTGCTGAAGTTCTATTACAGCAAATTACTGGTACTAAATGTGCCACCTTTGAAAGGATTTCTGGTGAAAACTCCTCTGTTGACAATAAAAGCTGACAACAGCAGCATAGATAGGACTTGCCTTGATCTCCAGCAGACAGCAACCTCTGACAGCCAAGAGCACCCACAAAAATTTAAAGTTGGTGTCAAAATCTCTACTATACTCCACTATTTTACCCAACAAAAAGCTAGGTTGAGACAGAGAAAGA